GATGGATGGATGGATGGATGGATGGATGGATGGATGATGGATGTGGGTTATTTATCGTCCTTGCAAGAGGAGATGAATCCTCTCTTAGTGACTCGGTGGGCCGGGTGCGGTGAGATAGTGGTCAGTTCCTTCCTGTTTTCTTCTCTCTTTTTGTTGTTTTGTCTTGCTGAAGCGTTTATTTCATTTTTGATTGGGAGCGTTCTGTGAAGAGGCAGAAAGGAATGTTGGATTCCAGCTGAAGTTTCCACTGTTTGCATCCTGATGCGTGGTATATTTCTGAACGTGTTTGTGTTTGAGAACGAATATCGGTGGCAGAATCTGTCCAACTATTCCCAAGTCGTCTTCATTTGCATGGCAGTGCGGCGGCACAAAGTGGCACCACATGCATGTTCCAGGTCTGTGCATTTTGGGGAAAGACCTGAGAGGCTGCGTGGGCGGGAGCGTGGGCGTGTGTTTGAGAGGAACCATGACTCCATTGACATTCTGTTCAGTGTTTGTGTGACAGAGCCTCATGGTGCGGGGCGGAGGAAAGACGCAACAGGAACAGGAGAACACAGGGTTTGTGTAGCGCCTGTTATGTTTGCTCGTTTGTGGGTGTGTGTGTAGGTGGCCCAGGTGGAAACTATCCTGGAAAATAAGTGGCTGTACGTGCTGCTTATTATTCTCTACAGCACTTCCCTCCAGCAGTCTAACACTGATTGCACATCATCAACTTTGCTTTATGATGATTTATCAGCTATATTGATAAAAATTAAAGATTATTGTCCCTGAAGCGCCGTGCCCCCACACCTGCCTGGTTGTAGTGGAACCAGTTTAGTGTAAAGTGAAGCAAAGTGGCCTTAAAGTGTCATAAAGGTGTAAAGCACTCCTCTGCACAGGTGTAGCAAAAGTCATCCACCGATTGAGCCATAAAGCAATCCCAGTGGAGTGGGTGCAGGAGCTGGGATATTCAAATCAGACCCACTCTGATCTCTCCACCATGAGGGGAAAAACGGGCAGTGAGGGGGGGTGTTTATGTTATTCTACAACAGAATGAAACACAAGGTGTTACTCTGACGATGCAAAGAAGCTTTAACTTTAGTTTCCACATCACAAATGGGTCAGAAGAGCTGAGCGCAGCCCTTCTTTGATTTTTCACATTTTTCCAGACTAAGAGCTGCAGAGTGAGGCGTTCATGTGTGTTCCGCCCTTCATTGACGGAAAGTCTGTCCACATCTGGTTTAAATCTTTCTTCAAAACGTGGACATTAGCTCTTTAAAACATTCATGTTTGTTCAGCTTCGTTCATTGTAGTAAAAATGATCTTAATGATTGTAAAAATGATTACTTTTACAAAAGATTGACGCCATCCTGGAGAGAAATATCAGCTGTGCTGCTGCCATCAACACCCTTGTTTATAGATGTTGGAGATCTTCCTGTTTTTCAGTGTAGTCCTGTTTCTCTGATTGTGACTGGTTGGATGTTCTCTCTTCATCCTCTGGCATGGGAGCTGGCTCGGAGCTCGTCTGCCTGGCTGTGTGTTTCCTGGATGGAGCCATCTTTTACAGCTGCTTTTTGTATCTCTGCTTCTGTCTCCTTGAACCCCAGTCAGCCTCAGCAGATGGCCGCTCACACTGAGCCTGCTTCTGCTGGAGGTTTCTTCCTGTTAAAAGGGAGTTTTTCCTCTCCACTGTCGCTACACGCATGCTTAGTGTGAGGGATTGTATTGGAGTCAGTGAGTCGATGCAATCAACTGGTTTTCCTTAGATAGAAAACTTTAAATTAATTTTACTGTATGATCTGGTGAACTGTAGAGTGCCTTGAGATGACTTGTGTTGTGAATTGTTGCTATAAAAATAAACTGAATTGAATTGAATTTTACACCAGGATGTTTGAATTCTGGATAAAATCTTTTTCAGGAAATCAGGATCCATTAGTGCAGGTTTGATGGTTTTGTTAGAATAATTATCATTGATGTTGTGAGTTTATTACACCTTAATATTAGCTGCCTGTTTGCGTGTCAGAGCTGATGTTCCCCCAGTAGTTCATCTAATTAGGTCAGTTCCTCGGTCCGGCTTTATACCAGAGCATGTGAGTGGAGCGGAGCATAAGAAATATGGTGGAGCGCAGAGCAGTTTTCAATTCAAAGGCCGGAGCGAGGACTTCCCTCCGATGCACTCACGTCAATAAAAAATGTTGTTTAATTAAATTTGATTTAAGTTTGATTTTTTTTTCGAACACGTATGACCATAGGTGCCAGCAGCAATGTGACGAGGAGGAAAAGTCTGCGCTGTTGCAGTTGAAAGTGCCAAAGTGCCTCCAGTTTACATTTGAGATGCTCTATGCATCTGCTTCAGCTGGCGATGAACGATGCCGAGACGAGGGTTGCATATTGTGTGATTAAAAAGTGGGATAGAATATCATATAAACATACACCAACTATAATTGACAATACAGAGTGGGTTTACATAAAGTGATCATTGTGGTAAGAGGCTGTTTTTGAAAATGGATCTCATACATGCACTATACGCTGTGCGAAGTGACCATTTTCATGTAGTCTAGTAAAATAAATGAATAATTACATGGGCAACATGAATGGAGCGAAGTGTTACGTTCACAGCTGAGTGCGATAAGTTAACAGCCAGTTAAATAAGACAATACACACGTATCGGTCGCATCATTAAATCAAACGCTGTGTGTTCCAGGGCCCTGGCATAGGTACATGAAGGAAAACTGTCAGAAAATGCCTTCTCCTGGAAATTTGAGCAAGCGTGGAGCAATTTCGCCGGAGCGGCAGGAAAATAAAAGCGAGGCGCAACTTTGAGCAGCGGAGCGAATGAGCGAACATCCTTCTGAGCGGGAATTGCTCGGCGCTCTGCTCCGTTCACATGCTCTGCTATATAGTTCTAATCTTCATTCTGTACGTGGAAAAGATTTGGGAATGGAAAGAGAGCGGCGTCCTTTGGCTAAGAACAAAGTGGGATATTTTAACAAGGCTGGAGTCATGGATGTCTCCTCATCTGCAAACATGTATGATGTAAAATGTGCTGATGTGGCAGACTGGAGATGTATAAAATGCCTCTTTAATGCTGCGTTCACACCGGACGCAGCAGGCGCGACAGAAGCAGCGAGTTTACATGCAAAGTCAATGGTTGAAGCGCGTCAAGGTGCAGCAAAAGGTCCCACAGCGTGTTTTGAGCAGCAGGCGCAGCGCGTCGGGCGCGTTTAAGCATCTGACGCGCGTGGTGCGCTGCTGCTAGAGATGGAAAATTTTAATTTTTGCTGCTCAACGCGCCGCGTCAACCAATCAGAGAAGCTAATCTGGGAGCTGACAGGGAGAGAGACACAGCGCTGATGACACAGAGCGCTGTGATCGCTCCTCTGAAACAGTTTGACGCCTAAATTAACTTAAAATGCAGAAATCTGCCGGCAGAATATGTTCGCTTTTATTATCCTGCTGCCTGCAGTTTAGATTATTTAGATGAAAACCACCTACCAGCTGCCGCGGTGAACCGC